ATTCACTTTCGATTGTTTTTCGTACTTATGTACATATTTACATACATATGTATGCATGTATGTATGTACATATATCTCCTCGTCACATCGAAACCCAGTGACGGCCAGTCCCTCGATTCTCCCTCACACCCACGGGTTGTAATATCGTCGTCATACCTTCTGCGTTGACTGCATCGAGCCGACGAGTGTCGGCGGCGCTATCGATTGTTGATTTGTTGTTGTTTGTGGCCATAGTTCATTGACCACTGCACGTCTTATGTTGCTGTTGCAGTTGTTAATGCGTTGCCAATGTAGCTATCGCTGTCTCTACCGTCGCTACGTTTGTACGTACATATGTATGTATGAATGCAATTGTAAGCAGAGATGTTAAGAATTTCAAATACAAAATAAAAAAACCAATTTCGATTTAAATACTTTTTCACAAGAGTATTTTGTATTTGTATTTTAAATATTTTTCCAGCAGCATTTGTATTTAGGTTTTTAAAATACATTTTCTAATTTTCATTAATCGTCCTATCATAAAGTTTTTCTTTACAACACTGTCATTAATTTTTTTGATATTTGAAAATTTTGGATTACCAAAATCGTGACGGTCAGTCCCTCGATTAACTTGCACTTCATTATACTACAATTTTATAGGCTGTATAACTGCATACCAACATTTTTTTCTAAAGATTCTGATTGAAAAATTTGAAAATTTGGTGAAACTTTGCAGTATTTTTACAATTTTTGTACAAAATTTTAAATGTCAATTTATATGGCGTTTGTTGTTTAACCCTCTAGACTCTTAAAGAGCCGTGAACCCACTTAATTTTAATGTTCGGCTTCGTCTTCGGTGTTCGGGCGAATATTTAATAGTACCTTCGCCCAAAATTTCAGCTTCAAGTCTGCTCGTTCGTAGGCGAAGGAGGTGAGAAGAGAGGGGAAGAGTACAGATACCTCCGTACCGTCAATTCGTTTCAAGTTTTCTTGCCTCTTTTGATCTTTTCGTTGCTTCCCATTTAAAGAACCAAGGACTTGAATTCAATTAAAGTTGACGCGTGTGGAAGCAAATAGAAACCAAAAAAGAGAATGCGAAAAAAATTGCTTTCAAGACTTGACGTGTCTGAAAGGGGGCTTAGTGCGTCGTATTGGGAGCGAGACGCAAAGAGACTTCTCCATGCTGCTTGTTGTGCGTTGTCAGCGTTAAGCAAAGTCGCTGGCGCTGACGCTTCTAATCGCCCATTGCCTGCATCAATCGCCAATTGTGGATTGTACTTCGATGCGCTTGTCATTTGTCTCATTGCTGTTCTATTCGCCTCTATGTGGCATTTTATCATAGATTACGTCTTGGAGCGAATTTTCGCTTTATCGATTCTACAATTAATGTCGCTTCACAGCCGTGCAATTAATGTTGCTAATGCAAACGAGCTGAATTTACTCTGATCGCTGCACAAGTTGGTAGTTTTCCTATTTCTCTTTGTTACTTTCCATAGCATGTTTTTTTTTTCACACAACTACGTACATACATGTGTATGTATGTACAGGCACATGTATGCGCACCTGTCTAGGCAAGTGTTTTTTTTTTGTTTATTTCGCCATTTCTCCGTCCCGTAAAACACCTGTGATTTTCCGCACACCTTGCTTGCTGTTGCTTTTTTGCTCTCTTTCGAGTATTCTTGCTGCATAGTACATACATAAATATGTATGAAAAAATTTGCTTACCTAGTTAATTTTATTTACACATGCTTGGATACTTATATACATATATAGATACATATCGTCGATATTTTTGCAAAACCGGCCGTCGACCAATTGCAAAACCGCATATCTTACGGCAAAACAGTTTTTCTTTGAAGGCATTGCCTTGATAGGCGATATTTTCTTTAGCTATTATTATTTAACAAATCTGTTGATTTAATAACGATGTTACGATTTTTAGGCATAAATCTCGATGCCTGGAGTTCAGGGTTACCAAATCTCATTTTTGCCACAACGGCGTTTTAGACGGTTTTGCTAAAACATCGACGGTAAGTACTAGTTCTTTTTGCCCGCGTAATTTTCGCAATTTTCAGTTTTACTTGTTTAGTTATTTATTGTTATTGCTCTTTTTACACATGCCTTAAGAATGTATGGTTGGGGTTATTACAACAGTTGGAAGCTAAGATTGCAAGGTTACATTTTTTTTATACCCGAGCGCACTTCTTCACAAGGGTATATTAATTTTGTTCACATAACGGTTGTTTGTAACAGCCAAAACGAATCGAGATAGATATAGACAAATGTATACATAAATGATCAGAATGAATAGAAAAGTCGATTAAGCCATGTCTGTCTGTCCGTCCGTCTGTCCGTCTGTCCGTCCGTCCGTGTACACGATAACTCGAGCAAAACTTGAGATATCTCAACGAGATTTGGTATGTGGGTTTCCCGTTATCCAAGGTAGGTTGGTATTGAAAATGGGCGAAATCGGACTGCAACCACGCATATAACAGTAATTTCCAGAAATAAGAAAACTGTGATATTTTAGTAACTACTGACAGTTCACTTAAAATGGATATTTACAATAGTTTTCAGACGAAAAATAAGAATATTATACATTTTTGGGAAATGGGCGTAGCCACGCCCACTTATGGTTACATGTGTATATCTTGGTAACCGCTGCACCAATTTCTTCCAAACTTGGCACAGTTGTTGGCCTTGNCCCACTTATGGTTACATGTGTATATCTTGGTAACCGCAACACCAATTTCTTCCAAACTTGGCACAGTTATTGGCCTTGGTATAATGTACCAAATGGCTGAAAATTTTTAAAATCGGACTATAATCACGCCCACATCCCATATAACGGTAATTTAGATAAATACGAAATCTTCGATAAATCAGTAAATATTGAAGCTAATTTATTCAAAATTGATGATTGCAACAATTCTTTACCAAGAAATACGTTTATGNACCAAGAAATACGGTTATGATAAAATTTTGGAAAATGGGCGTGGCACCCACTTATGATCACATATATGTATCTCGGTAACCGTTCTACCAATTGGTACCAAACTCGGTGTGGTTATTGTGCTTGCCAAATAAAAGCAAAACGTTGAAAATTATTTAAATCGGACTAAAAGTACGCGCATTTTTCATATAACAGTAAATTTCAGGACTGTTTGAAAGTTCAATATTTCGAAATTTAAGGACGCTAATTTACACAAAATTGATACATCCCGGCTTACCATGTAGCGGTAGCTTTCGGAAAGGTGAAACACATATATTTAATACTTGCGCCGGGTATTTAATGTTCGGCTCTGCCCGAACTTAGACTTTCTTAATTGTTTTATTTCATTCTTTTTGTATGCATATACGCAAATTGAGATTGGAACTTTACCCGTTATTGAAGATTGAAAATCGGCTTTCTGACTTAATGTTCTTTACCGATATAATGGAAACTTCAACTTGTCTCTACAAGGGGAGAATAAAAGTGTTTTTGATTTGTCGCAAATTACTTTAAGTTTGGAAGCTAAACCTTGAATGAGCTTATTAGCAAAGAAATAAAAATGGTAAGGAAATACCTTCCCAATGATACCTCACAAGTCTAAATCGGAAGAGATTAGGTTCAGGCATTCAAGTTTTTCTTATACCAATCTTTAAAAAAAGTTAAAAAACAGCATCAAAAATCTCATTACGATTCCGTTCAAATTTTTTTTTTTATTTTTTTTTAAATATTTGTATGTAAATTTTTTAAGCTTAAACCGTTTCGTCATTTTTTTTTCAAAAATCATCTCTAAGAAACTATTTTTATTCATAAAAAAACTTCATTTTTGGAGGTATTTTCAAATCGGTCCAGCTCACGTAAATCTTAATATTGTTCCGAAATATTTTGGTGGACGTCTTAAAATATAATAGGTTTTATAATTCCAATGGAAAAACAGTACCGATTTTTTTTTGTATGGGGAGTGTGTAGTCTAATATAAACATATGTACAAATCGTCGTTTAAAGTACAAAACCGCGTATCAAAAAAACAAAACAAAAAAAACAAGAGAGTAAAAACAGCAATATTTCAAAATGGTTCCCTTTTTTATAAAGCAATCGCATTTCTGGCTAGTGTATTTCAGGACGAATGGATAAAGATTGAGCCAAGAGCTTTTGTGGGCAAATCCAATTGTTGGCAGCAAATGTCAGTTACGCGGTTTTGTACTTTAAACGACGATATGTAGATGCACATGCACATGCGCTCCTAGGAAACTGTAATTACGTCAAGTGCAAATTAACAATTAAAAGCAAATTCATTAGTATTTTCACCCAAAGTCATCGTCGTTTTCCTCTTCATCTGTGCCTTTTAACGTTGATTCGTTGTTAACTTTTTTGTTGCTGTGTTTATCAACGTTGTCAATTCCGCTCTGTCGCTTACCGCTTGTCGCATTGCATTGATTGTCACCAAACGAAAGCTTGCACCGCTATGTGCAATAACGACAAGCCCGATAGACCAGCGATGGTGGTGTGGTGGTCAGTGACTGTCATGCGTTCTGTTGACTTTAATACGCGCACACACTTGTTGATAATGCGTTATGCGTCGAGCAATGAGTGATAAAAACAAAAGCAGTCAAGCGGCAACAAAATCAAAGAAAAAGCTACATTCAGCAAAAAAGAAAAGAAAAAAGCGTGCCCCAGTGGAAGCAACAAATAACTGCGGCAAAAGTGAAATGTAGGAAAATCTCTAGATTTCACCCACTGTCAGGAAAAGAAAATCGCATATCTGCACACAAAAAAAAAAAACGCTAGAAAAAATATTCGAGACAAAAATGAAAAGAGAAAATTATGCTTTTCGCAAATGTTCGCACAGAAAAAGTGTATAATACCATGCGTATGAAATTGAAGGAAAGCATCGTGTCATCAGCTGTCAACATTTATCGTGAAATACTTTCAATGGCACCGGTATTTCTTGTCAAATAACCAGTTCTTGCACATGACCTGAGAAATAAGTACACACTTCTCGCTTAAGATTTGTACATATATAGGTGATTCACAAGGTGTCATAACGTCATATGTCATATAATAAATTTGGGCGGATATACAACTCGTGTGAACACACCATCTTACTTTGTGTCCTATTTCAATTATTAATCAGCTGATTGCGAATAAACTAAAAAATAATGCCACGGGAAAGTGAGAAAAATAAACTAATTGCTGAATTATGTGTAAATCAGGTTATCGACATGATTTTTGCAGATTCAAGTAAGTTATAGATATAAATCGTTCTATACTTTCTTGGCATTCGTATATTATTCTCCTCTAGGCGATGAGGAGGAGCAAGATGAAGCGGACGAACGCTTCATGATGAACATGTTAAGCCTTTTGTGCAACCGCAGAAGTATTCATTTGGGAATTCCAAAATCTGCTGTTTGGCACCGGCGTGTACTGAATAGTTTTGACGACAGGAGGTTTAATCAAATGGTTCGCGTACGACCCGAGGAGTTTGGGTACATACTAAACCTAATAAAAGACGCTGACGTATTTAAAACAGTCTCCCATACAAGTNTTTTGCCTTTGGCTGGAACAAATGTATTTAGTAAATTTTTGGCCACTTATGCTTTTGTATTCGATAACTTACCTGGATATTTTCTCCTTGCTGCATTTCTTTGTAAAATTAACAAATTTACGCAGCAGCAGAATGAAAATGGCAAAAGTAAAATGCGAAATGAAAAGGTAAACAAAAGACAGCTGATTAGATACGACAACCCAAAAACATACCGTGCAGAGTTGTATTTCATTAGTACACAATTCACGTAGCAAGCAACAACAAAATATTTTAAACCGTCATAAAATTTATGATATTATGACAATATGACTCGTTATGACACCTTGTGAATCACCTAATTATTTTTTTGTTTGTCCTATATTCAGTTTTCTATCGATTTATTGCATATGAAGCCGAAAATTTCCTTTTTTTCTTCTGTTTACAAAGTCTTATTACATTAAACGAGCAATTCTTGTTTGTATATATATTTATACATATATCCATAGGGTTCTCGGAAACTGCTCTAACGATTTTGATGAAATTCTTTACTCAGAAAATATTTTGGATTTAGGGTTATCTGAATAGGCACTCCCAGAAGACTCGTATTAGGTTGCCACCTATTCGAAAATAGTTACAAATTAATTAAAACTTCATAATATGGGTATTAAATGGAAGGTATCTTAAAGATCCCTATTTCCCTAAAGACACCTATTTCGAATCGCATATTTATTTAATTTTTTGTTTAGAAAAAGGTAAAATATTACTATTCATGGGTACCAAGAGATGGTTCTTAAACAATGCTTTCCTTATATACAAAATGTTATCCCTTACGATAATAGTTATCTAAAACATCGCAATATGGATATCAAATGAAAGGTATTGTTGAGAATGTATGTATGTATGCATGTACATTATGGTGGTCCAAAAACAGTAAAGTAAGAATTGTAATGCTCTCACCTCCTAAGATTGTTCTATATTAAAAAAAGTATACCACTATTTTCTTATTTTGAAATCAAAAAATATTTATAGGTCGCTCAAAGCGCTCAAAGTTTTCTATGTATTTTTATATGAGAAAAATAAAAATGGTATAGAATTCTTGAAAATCAATATAAACAATAAATAAAAATATAACTCTGGTTCTCTTCAGGATACTTTCAATAATAATACTCAATTGTTTATTTAACCATTTTTTAATACTAATGATTTTTTATTGGTCGCCCCATTGCGCTTTTCGGGGTTTTGTGTATTTTTGGCGGACCAATAAATTCTATAATTTATAGTTGCGATGAAAACATTGTTAAATAAACAATTGGGTATTATTATTGGGAATCTTCTGCAGATAAAAAGAGTTTTCTGGTAGAAAAATATTGATCTTTAGATATTCTATACCATTTCTACGAAAAGTTGTTTTTACCACATATAAAATACATGGAATACTTTGGGCGCTTTGAGCGACCTGTAAACATTTTTGGATCTCAAAATAAAAAAATAAGGGTCTACTTTTTCTGTATAGAACAATCCTAGGGGGTAAGCGCATAAAAATTCCGACTTTACTTTTTCACATGCATTTTTGGACCGCCCTAATGTACATATACCATATGGTTTTTGCGAGAAGACAGTTTAACTTACAGACTTATAATAAGAACACGTATATTTATTTCCAAAAAAATAAATATCTAACTTATTAATTACAAAAAAAAAAAAAAAATACTATGCTAACTATTTTATACATCAAACCTGGTAAAGACCGAAAGCGTTTTTGCTTCTTATTGGCCTCTGTTGGCCGATGTGTTTGGAGCTCTACTCTTTAACCATTCCAGCCTAACCCTAATCCCGGCGTCAACTCACGACCAGTCGCATTTTTGCAGGGAGACAACCGATTGGGCGAATATAAAGAAAGCGAATTAGAGTCAGCTTTGATTTTTCCCCCTATTTTAACCGTTTTACTACATATAAGTGTCCAACCGATTGTTAGGGTTCGGGTTCGGTTACGGAACAGTTCGATCATGACGTTCAGATTCGGATTCGGTTCGGTTTCGGCCAAAATTGGTCGAGTAATTTGGCCGAAAAGTTGTAAAGGAGATGTTTAGAAACTTTCGTTATTTTATATTTATTTCCGGCCCGAAGTTTTAATTCTCGTTAAAACTTTTGGTAAGTTGAATTTTCAAAATTGCTTTGTACAGTATTGGTGAAAGCAATATCTCTACAGATGCAATGGCTGAAATCAATCCAATTTGGGAATTTTATAAGCGTTTATAAACTTGTTTGAAACGTTTTTTTCGAAAGTAGTTAATCTCGCTTTATACATCGTGTGTACTGCACTGAATAAAAGTACTAAGGCTGTTAAGGATCTTCTGCATATGATTTTGCTTTTCCATATTTCGGTGCATTTATAAATTCACAACAATAAAATGCAGCGGTTGCCGGGGTAGCAAGTATAAAATTTGCAAATGCAATTCCAAATGCAAATCCAAGACCATTTTCACTATATCCTGAACAGCCCTACTACTGATTTTGCCAAGCTTCGTAAAAAGTTTGGGTTCGGTTCGGTTTCGGCCGAGCTTCAAGACAAAAGCTTAGTGTTCGGTTCGGGTTCAGATTCGGCTAATATTTCGAGTTCGGTCGGACACTAATAAATATCAAACCTCTAGTTCCCAAACCCCCTCTGGATGGTCTCTATTGATTCAAATCATAGTTGGTCTATTCTTTACTTTTCTGAATTTATTAATTTCATCTATACCACCAGGCCATTTGGCGGCTTTAACAACGTTCTACGTTATTGAAGTATTGAATTTAACGAAAACCAGTCGACATAGATAAGTATATTTTCAGAAATAAAGTTCGGCCAATAGAAACGAAGTCGTTTTGAAAATAGTTAACGTGCCCCGATTTCGCTGGCACTTGGCTTGTGCTCTAAGTTTTCTTAGGAATAGGGAATTATGAAATATGGTAACGATGGGAAAATTAAATTTAATCCGATTTCGATGAAATTTATTTTGTACTCTCTATTTTATTAGAAAACCCTAAATATAAAATCTAGGGAAGATTGAATCACTTTAACGTTTACAGCTCGAAAAAAATGTGGGCCCAACCCATTAGATTTGATGGAATTTTAGCTATTTTTTCTTTTCTTATATACTTAAAAATTACATAGAGGTAAATATTCTCTTTCTTTCCCAATGGTATGATTTTTTACATTTATTACGCAAAAGGAACCTATAAATCGAATAATTTAGAAAACTTTAAAATTCCATATATTCGCAAAGTCGCGCGAAAATATCCACTTATACGCTTAGAAACTATATGCAATTTTCTTAAACATGCGTCTACTTTTAAGACCTGATGAACCGGTACCCTCCTTTTACCTTTTTTAACTAATACTCTTTGGTATCTACATTTCCACGTCAATTACCAAATAAATGATAAATACATTCAGGCTAATAATCCATTACACTTAAAGAAAAACGTGAAAAAGAAACACTTGCTTTTTTGGGTCCAGTGAATAGTTTACATCGTACCGAATCTAGTATTCTTTTTGGAAATGTACCATTTGTATTTATGACTTTTGCTTTCCCCACTCTAAAGGCCCGTTCACATACAACTTTGGCGTTGCATTGGCGTTGGCGTCGCTTCGACAGCTGACTGTAAATACATGCATTTATATGAAAGTCTCCACATAACCAAAGTTGAGCAACCCTAACGCCAATACAACGCAGAAAGATGGCCAACTCGCGACTTTTCGCGCGCGTCGTTCGTCAGCTGTTCCAAATAATCAAAATTATGTGATTTCATTTTCATTTTTAATCAAATGCGGGCAAGAAATATAGTTTTTTAATGCAATTATTGATATAGAGTTTTGATTTATCTGCCGCTAGTATGTTAATTTAGTGACCAAAGTAGTCTCTGCTAAGCGTTCATTGTAGCAAGCACGGGCGTTGCTCGCGCATCTGTTAAAGCGACGCCAGCGCCCAACGCAACGCCAAAGTTTTATGTGCCCCGTCCACAAAGCCAAACATTTATTTTTTTAACAACTGTCACTATGATTATCCATTAAATCGAAACATTGTGCGTCGTTTATGTAGGGCATGAGTTCCGAACGTGATCCAATTCATCTTAGTAGTCAGTATGACATCTAGTATTTGTTTCTTGGCGATAGGGAAAAAGTATGACCATTTCGAGAAATGGAATTGAAACATGAATTCTGGTAGTCAACGGAATTAATCTAGTCTTCGGAGCAATGCTCATTAAAAGTTTGCTAAGTAAAAATAGAAGTGAGTATTTGATGATTATTGATATCATTACTAATACTGCATTCAATATTTTGAACTACTGATGACATCATCGATAGTGGTATCAATTTTAAAATTTTTTTCGTTTTGCCGATAACTTATCATTTCGTATTCGCTATAGTTTCCGATTATTACAATTGCTTTTTACCTCCCTTTTATTGGCTCGGGATGTAACTATGTAATATTGATGCGCCTAAAAAATGCAGCGCTTTCTATTCTCAAGTTACATACGTGATGACAGTACGAATGGAAATTATAATAGCGAGGTTTTAGTTTTTAAACTATAATTTTATTAATTATTTTATTGATATTACTAAAGTGTATGTCAGGCAAGCGTTTGTTTGTATTCGTAATAGTATAGGTATAAGTTTCACCCAGGCGAAACTAAAGACTGTTTCACGTTAAAAAAAAAATAATAATTTGCTGCAATTTCATTGCATTCTAAGATGTAAAGAAATCCTCTGGGAAAATTGATAACCCACCTAATCAATCGAACGAGTTCAAAAAAATTTTCTAATAAATGCGGTTGACCTAGTTTTTGTATTGAGCACTTGAGTTTTTCCTACACATGCATACATAAAGGCTCATGAACTCAGCTATCTATTCAAACCCATATGTACCCTGTCGGGAATTTCGTAGTCGACTACTAAAATAGCCAACTTTTGGTCAACTTATTTCGGCTAACTATTGATTATATTCCAAGTCATGCAGGGCTCAATCGAGGGGCGGTATGTAAAATTGTTTCACGATTTTCACTTTCGACAAAAGAACTTGTGCTCAAAAACAAAAAATTGGAAACAATTTTGAACATTTGTTGTCATTGTGTTTTTTATTGAAAGCGAGAAAACGTGGATTTTCGTTATTTTATATATGAACAATCGCATGATACGAAAAGACGGTAGTTTCATTTAAAAATTTTTGACATAAAATAAGTTTTTGAAGTTTCATAAATTGTACAAAATTATGAGCTACCTTGCCACATTCTCTCACTTCGTCGGCCATGATTTTTTTCTGACGTTTGCAAGCATTTTGAAATCATAACAAACTGAAAATAAAAAAGTTAAATTGTTCACAATTGTTGTTGTTTGAGATTGAAAATGGGAGTGTGTGTGTGTGAGTTTGAGTTTTGAATTTTTCAATTGCTGGCAAACGACACTCCATCTCTTAATGATTTTACCTTGTTATGTTTTTATCATGCATCAGAGGATTTAGAGGATTTAATGTTGTGCGTGGGTATTGTTCGGTTATTTGTACAATGATTTTGTGGTGGGAGCGAAGGGGGAAGAGGTGGTGCACCTTAAACTCCAGTCATTGGAAAGGAAACAATATAAACTTGAAGAAAAGTCAACCTTCGCCCCCTGCCCTTTCTACAAGCACTCGTGGGGCCCATTTCAAAATGGGGTAAATTTGGCATTTTCACAAGGAAAAATTAAACTAGTGTTGGGCCATCAGAAGTATGTATATTTGCGCAAAACTCCTTTCCGCGTTAGTGGTCTTCGGCCGCGCCAGAAAAAATAACTTCATCAGTCCAACTCCGGTTACACCATCTACATTATTTTTGCGCAAAATCCACCTCGAAATATACAAATTGCATATTTCAAACCGAAATCTTAGTTTTAAATTAAAGCTTAGTGTAGACGTAGAATATGTATGTAATGTTAAATTTTTTTGATTCGGGTCACGTGTTTGGACACGATAACCCAAAAACATTGTACAAATAACCGAACCTTACCCGAACTGCAGTAGCTTCCATCTTATGTGGATAATACCTCTCACAAATACATAGTTTCGTGCTTATGTTTTTGTATATACATATATATTTTATCAGCGTCACATCTTTATCAGAAAATTCCGAGAATCCAAAAAGTTACAAGTTGCAGGGCAGCTTTTCAACTCGACCTCCTCCCTTATAGTGCGTTTATAGTTAGTTGAGTTCCCTACAGGGTATATACATATGTATGTATGTATGTATGCCTACTGATTGCAGCACTTCCTTGACATGTTGCTAGTGACTTGCATATGCTGCGGTGGTGGTGATGGTGGCAGTTGTAACTGCAACTCTTGCTAAACTCCTTAGTTTTTTCAACAACTGAATGACGCTGCTTTTGCTGTTGACTTCTTCGCCATTTCGATGCCATCTCCAGTAAATGCAAGTCTGCGACACAGCACCGCAATTGACAACTTGCCACTTCTTCCTTTCCAGCTATGCCGCCTTTTGCATATCATATGGACATGTATGTATATCGTCGTTTAAAGTACAAAACCGCGTAACTAATATTTTCTGCCAAAAATTGGATTTGCTCCCACAAGCTCTTGGCTCAATCCTTAACCATTCGTCCTGAAATATACTAGCCAGCAATGTGATTTCTTTATAAAAAAGAGAACCATTTTGAAATAAGTCAAGTTTTCTGAAGTGGGCCACCAAAAGTTGATTTTTCGATTTTTTATATTTCATTGGACGATTTCGAAAGTTAACATGGTGTGAAATGTTGACACCAAAGCTTTTGCGCTAATTTTAATTTTTCGACGAGTTATTTGCAAACAAACTTTAAGGAAGGCTTTTACACTTTTTGCAATATTTCAGCAACGATTCATTCGACTGTTATAATTTTTTGATATCAATTAGAAAATTTATTGAGCAACAAAATAAGTTGGTCAGATTGCAAAAATTTCAATTTTTTTTATAAGAAAATTGTAAAGTTTTCTGAAGTGCAAAACGAAAAGTCGACTTTTAGTGGCCCACTTCAGAAAACTTGACTCAATATGAGTGTTTTTACTCTCCAGAAAATAATTTATGCAACGTCACATACGCAGTTTTGCGGTTTTGCATTTTCTTGATACGCGGTTTTGTACTTTAAACGACGATATGCATGTATGTATGTATTAGATATCTAAGCATACATCATTCAAGTAAGTAATTGGTTGCCAGATTTTTCTAGGCGTTCAGTTAGCTTTCGTTTTGCATCTTTC